GAAAATTGGCTTTGTTGACAAAATCCTGTTTAAAGAATGTACACTAATACTTGTACTTTTTATTTCTTTGCGTTCCAACTGGAACATGTGGCTTCAAGCTTTAAAGTTTCAGTGGATGTGGTGTCGGTTTTATGGGGTGAAAATGGTCACCTCACGCCAAACATTCCCCATCTTCTGATCTTACTAGGTAAGGTTTAGAAGTGCGCCGGCTGGAAGTCGAACCAGGAACATGTGCGCAATTAACAAGTATTTGATGATAAATCCACATTTAACAGTCTAATGTTGAATAATGAGGGGAGGCTACATCACTAAGTTAGTAAATGTCTTGAAATCTTTCCAACTTGTTAAATTCTGTTGTCACCAGTTAATTCACTATTGTTATTCTCAGTGTATTTCTTCTGGATTTTGTCTTTCGTTTCCTCCATCGTTACATTTGGGGTATAGTCTGCGACTATAGCACTGAATGAAACTTGTTCAAACCTTAGTGGGTACACTGATTCTGTCTAGTGCCAATAATGATAAAACCTAGGCCCAAGGCTTTATGCTGACGGCTCCAAGTCGTTTAGAATTCCATTCCATAATTCACATCCATTTTATATTATTGCCAACTCTGAATCATATGTTCACACTTTCTATAAGCACACTTTTAATTTCTCCATCTCTGTACTGGTTCCTGTATCTGGAAACCCATTGTGGGTCACTCCTTTGATGTCGTGAATTTCCCGACATTATTCAACAATAGACTGACGTATCTCAGCCTTAGAATATGGCTTCACAATAGTGTCTTTAGTTTCCTGCATAAGCAAAGCACTTAAGGGGTCCATGAAAGAAAGAAACGCAAGGGCCCTATGGAATACCTGGAAAGCTTCTTAACACAGTCTAAATCTGAACTAGTGGTCTTCTCACATGTGTAAATAACCATAGATCATGACTTTTCAGAAACAAAATAACTTCAAGCTTTATAGATTTCTTTATAAAACCACTTGTAAAGTTGTGATTACCTATCCAAATATGCCTTAATTAAAGCATGTGATGTAAATTAACCGTACTATTAAAACTTATGACATAGTTGCGTTTATGAACAGGTGGATTATGTGACATATAATATTCAATCATGAACATCAATTATTAATCTGAAAGAGTATGTGTAACCTAAGAATTTTAGATAGTGTCCCTCTATAGTATGTGACAAACTGTATTCAAATACTTGTTTGGAATACATCTGCGCAAAAGTGATAAAAAGCAACTCAATGTAAACCACGTCAAGTTGAGAATCTGAGAGACAAAAGCAAGAACAAAGTAAACACTTTGATGACAAGTCACAGAGTCCAGTGCTTAAGCACATTATAGGTAGAGTACCTGCGATTAGTTTAAATGATGCATAGCATTGGGTATAGCGTCATCACCTGGAAAACTTTTAAGCTTTTAAGGCCAACTCCAAATGAGAAGAATAAAACAACTTTGAGCAGGGAATTTCTGCTATAAACTTAGCCTGATGATCAAAACTACAAAAGTTAATAGCTGACGAATAAGAAACAAAATATATGTCATTAGCATTGCACTTATTATTATTATTATATTATCATAGTTTCTTTTAGTTCCTAGAGAAACATAGGGCTTCAGCCGCACGTCTCCACTGCGTTAGATTTCCTGCAACGTTCCCATGTCTGCCCACATGCATGACCTCCTATATGTGTCAACCTCTCACTGACGACCAACTCGCAGCCTCCCATTCGGGTTCTACTCGAGTGTTGGTACGACGAATGATACCACTTGATGCTTTTCTCAAAATATGGCCAATCCACGTCCATTTCGTCCTGCAGATTTGTTGCGCAGTCAGTTCCTGCTAGATTGGTTCGTTCGTTCCCAGAGATCCCTGCTACTGATCTTTTCTAGACATATGATCTTGAGTACTACTGGGCGAAGACAGCTGTTAATGAAGGTCTGTACTCTGTTTGAAGTGCCCTTCATGGTGCGGCACCAAGTGTCTGATCCGTGTAGAGTAGCACTGACTTCATATTGGAATTGAAAATCTGGATCTTGCTTTTCATGCTGAGTGCTGTTGACCACTACAGAGACTTGAGAGTAATGAAAGCCTGCCTTGCTTTGATATCCTCGTCAGTTCCACCTACCTGTAGTTGAAACGATGCTTCCCAGGTATGTAAAGGAGGTTGTTTCTTTCAGATTCCTTCCATTTATGCTGATTGTTGTCTGTTGTTGCTGTTGGCTAGGAATCTTCATCATCTTTGTTTTCTCCATGTTCACCTGAAGATTTATGCTTATCAAAGATAACTGGAAACGATGTCATGACTAACACTGAAACTAGTGACCATACTAAAACTTTCTGTTATCGCGTAATTATCATTAGTGTGAGACGAAATATGAATACTGTAAAATTAGGAACAAATGAATGAAGTAATCAGGCAGTAAGTACGACAGAAGACAAAAAACGAAAATATCACACAGTGAACACCAACCAAATATTGGAGAAATAAGATAACTTGATGTAAACCAAAGGATGACAAATAATAACAGTGCTAAGCGAACTAAGTGAATCAGACGCACATGTTCCCATGAATGTTATGAACATGAACATGGTTATCCTACCAATTTTGTAAATAAACATAAATCCAGAAGAACTGATAAAATTATGCATGATGTGGTAATTAAAAAAAGCTGTACTTAATGGGTGCAACTCAAAGACGGTATGTTGAGTAGATCTAACGAAAGTGCTTTCACTGCCTTATATTAACACGTCAGAAAATCAACGGAATCTAAACTGACACATTGCACGAAAGATAATTTATCGATTATGGCCATATAAATGTATGTATTGCGTCGGTGGCACAGCGGTTAAGACGCTCGCCGACCATGCACATGGTCCGGGGTTCGAGCCCCGGCCGGCGCACACCTTTACCTCGCTAAGCCAGTAGTGATACTGGTAAGGAGAAAAGGTTGGGCATGAGGCTATCAACCCCATCCTGTAAAAAATCAACACTGCTACGGAATCTTCAAGCCTATAGCTTGGAGCCCTATGTTCCACTGAGAACGTGAAGAAAAAAAAATGTATGTATGCAAATTTAACTGCTCTTGCGGAGTTATATAGGTTATACTTGTGCACATGTACTTAGTGTGGCTTGGAAAAAGAGTAACCAAGAATCATCTTATCCAACTTACAAGGAGAATGGATACTATATCGAAATAGAAACGGCATTCATAGACTCATACTAAATGACAAACAATCTGCTTAAAAGAGCCCAATTACGTCTCCTCGGCAAACTGAAGCCATAGGGATCAATGCAAACAAACTAATCATATGGTCATCACGGACGTTGTCATCTTATATTTTCACACCTTATAATATTTTTTCTATATCTTAAGAATCTCTTTTATTTACCCTTCCAACTCTTTTCCGCCTACTTCTCTTTGCGCCGTTATTATTGTTACTACTATTACCAGTACTAATTTGTCATCCTTTTCAATTTACACTAAGTTTGTCCTATAAGTTTATTATCTGATTACTGTTCACTATGCAGGAAAGACATATTGGTGAGTCAGTGCAAGGTTGTAAGAAGTAAAATGTGAGTTTCTGCGTCGGTGGCACAGTGGTTAGGACTCTCGCCGGCTATGCACATGGTCCAGGGTTCGATCCCTGCCGATGCACACCTGATATCTATGGTCGGCCTGCAAAATTTGGGCTACCAATATCACATGCTGAAAATTCCACACCTGTACCACACAAATTACGGTATGGAATCAAGCTGTAATCAAAAATATAAAAAATATCAATAGCATGCATTAAAGAGGACATAGTAAAACTGTGAGGAATATTTCAAGATGAAATGGTGAATATGTGAAGTGAAACAGGCAGAGGCATATATTACGAAAAGAGTTAATATCACAAATAAAACGTCCGGATAGTATAAATGGAAAATCCAATAATATTGAAAAAGTGTTAGAATAAAGGGTGTAAATTATAAAGCATTGTGTCTAAAATTGTTAGGACCAAGATAAATGGAAAAGCAAAATGAAAAAGAACACTTGAAAGGAGAGAAGAGATTTTAATTCAAATTTGGCCGTGGAAGGAATAGTGCCTGAACATGTTCCTTTTGAATACGAAGCTCCGGTTGATTTGATCTTATTGCAACAGCTTTAGCTGTATGTAAAAGACGTAGGTGAACGAGTGTGATAAAGACCCTGAAGGCGATTTTTTAGCGTTAGTTCGACGGCTTGTATCGACAAAGTGTAACAGAACTGAAGATTTTAATGCATTTAACTTCAGTCTTACTGAACCATTCTGGTAAAATTTCTCGAATTCTTAAATGAACATGCCTAATCATGCACCCTGTGTAACTTGAACCCTAGGAACAGTTGAAACTACATATGTATGAGGTTCAGGAGCTAAAATTGGGATAGATGTCTTTCAGTCTCGCTATGAACATTGGGCGGCTACTGAAAGATAGGGACAGATGTCCAGATTAGAAAGTCTTGTTTATCATTCTAGTTAAACGCTGGGATAGAATCTTCGTAAGAGTATCCATGTTGAATTGTTGGCGCAGTAATAATGCCTTTATCTCCAAGATTGTCAGTTCATGTTTACGAGTATTATTTATATCCCATGCTGACCTTTATAGAATTTTCTGGATATCCGTTTTCCCTTAGAATATCTCGGATGATATGATGTTTTTCTATACACCGCTGATCGACATCACTCAAAGTGCTAATCACCTAATCTAATTACGTTGTCATTTCATTAGTACGAAACTGAAGAATAGCTTTTTAAATGTGACTTCATTTTTGACGAATCCAGCTACTTTTATTGTTAGTTAGTCATCGAGAGAGTGCAACAGGTTACTGTAATCTCCATCATAGGTGAAATGAACTACTGGGTAAGCGCTGTTGACGTGTCTCAAAATCAAATCACTACACAAACCTTCATCGTATTATGTGACCACTGTATTTTATCATTATCATTATAAAATAACAAGAATATTACTCACTTAGATCCTTTATCAAATAAACTTGTTCTTTGTGATCGATATTATTTGTTTATTTATTTGTCTGTTTCAAATATGATCAGTGATCAAGAGTAATAATAATAATAATCCTTTTGTATAATGCAGTTGATTAAAATACCACGAATTTCTATTATAAGCAACAGTAATATCACCACTACTACTGATTAATGATATCAGTAGATATATTATTATTCAAGAATCCAAATTCTGATTGTCTATACATTGAAACCCACTCATTCATTCATTCATTGAATCATTTATTCCATTCACTGACTATATACATATGCGTATATGTATTTATATATATACTACTTTAACTCAATGGATGACCTTTGCTGTGCACAGTTCTCTCTCTCTCTCACTCTCTTTCACATTCACATACACACACAGGCGCGCAAACTCTGAATGTCTGTATTACCAAAGCATACATACTGATTTTAGAGAAATACTTTAACAGTTTCTCTATACTACTAGCAAGAAGTTGTCGCATTATGTAAGAGAATAAGGATAATAAGAACAATTTGATTTGACAAAAGTAATTTAACTAAATGTGAATAATACAGAGAATAATATAGAGAATTTGAAAGGAATAAAAGCCGACAGTTCATTAGCATTCAGTATTGTGTAAGGCATAAAAACCTGAATGGTTTTCTTTTGTTTCAAAAGTACTGGACATGTGTTTCGTCCCCAATCGGGACTCTTCACAGTAGGCACCAACTGAGGTTCAAACCTAGAATCTTCTGGTTACAAGGCGGGCTCATAGACCATTGAACCACTGGGATACGATTGAATGGCCAGCCAGTCAATTCTAACTTCTGCAAATTCACGATATAGCACGACCATTTCGCAGTGTCTTCTTCAATGAGTTACTGCGTCATATTCAGCCTCTTGTACCGTACTGGTCACCGTTTTCCACTAGAACCCCAGGTCACTGCCAATCGCTAGTGAGCATCAGATTATCATTCGTAGAATTAAGAGGTATTCAGAATCATATTAAACTAGGTATGACTTTATCAATCACAGTTAGCAAGGCGGATTTCATGTCTAAGTGATATCGGTTAGACAAGAAATGATAACTGGAGAATAACCGGGTAGGCATTCCGTACTAGTGTGGTCTTTTCATCAGTGCATACTCAAGAACACAACAGCAAATCAATGCATAACTTTCAGGTGATTATATGAACAAGCTACCAATCATCCACAAGGTCGGGATCTAATTACCATGAATTATAATTTCTGTACATTCGTGGTTTCCAATTCGTAAACTGGTGTCACGGCCATCTGATATCATCGGCAGGTATCTCAGCTCATGTCTTACTTGATGGGCCTCATCAATTACAGTCTTTGACTGGAATCGCGTAAAGTTTATCTCATAAACAGTCATTTATGGGCTGTATCTGGGTAAATACATGCTGAAGATATTGGATAAAGGAGACGCTATACTTTGTGTTGACCAGAGTTAGCATTCGTTGCCGATAAGATTCTAAACTAGCGGCTGAGTGGGAAACTGCTCGTCTGATTACCTGAAGATCCTATGTTAAATCCTAGGTGAGATAATGAGTGGATAATTCTAAGATCTCTTGCCATTTTCATATTATACGCAGTCCGATATGGTTTATTCTCGGGAGCCGGAAAAAATATCCTCATTACAAAATATAACCTGAGTGACATCATAAATGGTGATGTAAAGAATTGTTGCTATTAGATATTTAGAGGCAATCGGCAGGAAGCTCTGAACTCAGGTTTCGTGCTTGTCGTCATCCACTATTCCGCAAGGCTCATCTGCAATCTTAAAGGAACTCATGTCCATTCTGAGATCGGAATCCGTGTCATCCAGTGAGTATTGCAGTCAAAAATGTTACTCCCGAGCTATTCGGGCTAGAGATTGACCTTCTCTAGGACGATTTCATTGGATAATTTGATTGGACAACTAGTTGGTAAATAAAATCATGCACATGTACCAATCAAACGATCTAATAATAGCAATTTAGACTCTACCATGACGGAAAGCCACCTAGCATGGTGGCTACATAACAAATTTCACTGACGCAATCCAGTCTGCATCAGACAAAGGAATAAATGCGTGGTACTAGTTACTAACTGGTGTCCAATGAAGGTGATCTAAAGGATTAACAATACGGTTTATACTTCTGATTAGTGTAAGTAATCAGAAATCACTCGTGTACGATATTAATACTTCCTAATCAGAACGAGGTAATCTTAATACTGAATGACTGTTTCGACTGATAATTGAGGTATCAAACAAATTAGAATACTTTTCATTTTCAAAAGAAATCATGGTGAATTCTCGCCATGATCTGCATACTTTGCAACTAATGAATTTAATTCTACGTATCAACGATCAAGAGGCTGGATAGATTTCGGTTGTTTTGAACTTATTCGACCTTGAGAGCTATTTATAACAGGGTAAAGGTTAAGCTGGCAAACCCTAATGGTTGAAATAAGCAGTTTCCATCTGCGTATAATAGGCAGTTGAATTTATCTACTGATGTGAATTTTAAATTCACGCCTGCTGCAATTGCTTCTTCTATTTGTAAAATTATCGGGAAAATTACTTTTACTTCACCTTGAACCTTCTGTGAATGTTTTAACTATCCTGAGCAATTTGCAAATATACAGGATATGTGTACTTTAGATGCTGCTATTGTCATGCATCATAATACAGTTTTCTGTTTAGATAAATGAATCAAATATGTTCAGTGTACCTTGCTGGACTACACATCCACCTCTGACTCTATACCCAGATTCCCTCTGTTAAATAAACTTTCCTTCACACAAACTGAGTCCTGGACTAATAACTGGTTACATTCTTATTTGTCTGACAGAGTCCAGTTCAGTGCAAAAAAAGGTAAATCTTCCTCTGCCTTGCTTATTAAATCTGGTGTCCCTCAAGGTGCTGTTCTACGTCCTTTTCTTGTTTCTTTACTCTTACAAAACTTGCCTCTTTTCAATGAAGTTGACCTCGTTAAGCATGCCGATGATCTGACTGTCTTGTTGACAGTTACCTGTCAGTCTGACTAACCCAAAATGAATAGTTTTTAGTCGTACATCAGCCAGGAGTCTAAGCTAAATGGTCATATGTTAACCCCCACCCCTAAATGTTCGGCAGATAACTTCACCTTCAGACATAACTGTGATCTAAATGAACTGGTTCGTCCACAAGATACTTATGGTATAGAGGTCGCTGAAATGGAAACTAAGTCAAAATTAAAGTAATTTGGAGTAGTTCTATCCTCTAACCTCTCTTGTTCATCCCATATCTTGTTGATCTCTAAAAAGAGAGGGTTCCATCTAACCTACTCTACATTAAGAAATTAAGACAATCAGGAATCACTCAACCTCTGTTTTTACAGATTGTTAACTCTTGCATCTCACCTATTGTAGTGTTCCTCCTTGGTCTTTCCTGGGCTACTCATAGTGGACTATTTTACATTTCGAAGGGTATCAACGGTTGTCACTAGGGCAACTAATGTGATAATAAGTTAGCCCGTTACTTCTGCAGTTGACAGACACCTGAACTCATGTGAGAAATAGTCTAAATCTATATTGTCTCACTCTGAACACCTTCTCTATTCACAACTCTGCTCTTAGAACGCATGAGGTAGGACTAGAAGCTATTATAAAAGAGTATATGCTGACACAATTAAGTACAAAAACTCAACGATACCCTATTTACCCCTCCTCCTATGTGGTAGAGACGATGTTAAGTGAGAAACTTACGAATAACTATGTTTTTATTATTATTGTTCCGTTGGCTTCAACCGCACGTCTCCACTTGCTTCTGTCTTTTGCTGTACTTTTCACCTTCATCCATGTTAGTCCATACTCTTTCAGCTCCCCTTCACACGATCTCCTCCATGTCACCCTTGCACTGACGTCCCACTCGCCGCTTCCCTTCCCGAGGGCCTGACGCGCGATGTCACCAACCGGCCTCCTGAGCCGCGAATGTCCAATCCATCTCCACTTTCTCCTGCATATTTGTTGGGCGGCAATTGGTTCTTGTTTTGTTTCTTCCCATAGTCTCTTGGTGGTGGTTCTTTCCGGCCCGGCCATCTGATCTTCAGTATAGAGCGAAGACAGTTGTTGGTTGATAAAAGTCTGCAACAGGCTGTTGGAAATATTCTTTGTGACCCGCCCGCTAAGTTTCTGATCCGTATAGAACTGACTGACTTGACGTTTGTATTGAAAATCCGAAACTTACTATGTTACTAATAGGATAGGTGGCTGTTTTATCTTGGTGACACTTTTTTCAACTAACTTTTAATTTAATGTATCAGCATTATTTTCATTTTACACTTTGTGTAAATTTTTGACTTTATTGTCATTGTTAATACTAAAAGTTGCCATTATCGATTTTGGTTACCTAAACCCTGTAATATATTTGTTGTTTTGGGTAAATTAGATCCAGTATTGTACCAAAATGCTAATAATTCCCTACAATATCATACATAATGCTTTGGCATTCCACAAATTATGATTATTATTTCTCAAAAAATATTCTGTCGGAGAAACAAAGCATTCATTCATCGAAAGAATGTCGTATAAAACTTCGACAATGAGTTAGTGAGTAATTCCACATAATTTTTCAAGTTTTGATTTGCAGGGATTTGATTGATTACATTTTTGAGCACGAGGTGACATCATTTAGATAACCACTGGGAGACTGAAGAATGCCAAACACATGGTTCGTCCTAGTTTGGGACTCTTCATGGGTATAAACTCAATGGGGTTTGAACCCAGTGCCTTTCTTTCTCAAGGCAAGCTCATAGGCCTCCCAGCATCTGGGACCCCATCTAATGGCCTGTAAATTCCAACTTCTTCGAGTTCGCGATATACAGCGCAACCGCCAGCCAATGTCACCCACGAGTAACAGTTCTCTTGCCTGGGTTGATGGACGCCACTGGTCAAAAATTCTTACTATAACTCCATGTAACTCTTATATAGAGGCAGTGGCTAATGTCTATCACATTAATTTTTATTAATAACTTGTTTCCTGGGTATTTAGCGTAGTGAAACGATATATTTTGATGAATGACCTTTTGAACACATTCCATCATTGTTCAAAGTCATATTAACTGTAAATAACATGCAATATCGACACTCAATTTTTATAGTTGTCGTTCCTTCTTCCGATCTGCCCTAAGGAGTTGTGTTGAATCACTCCTGTGACATGTACTCTCAGCTCATTAGATAAATAAAGCTTCACTTAACATTCTCTCTCTTCGTCCTGTTACATTACAGTGTAACTTTTTTTCCCGGCTTTGCAAATTCAGAATACTTCTGAATATGAATTTACAAACTATAGTAGTGTGCAAATTTTATAGACGTAATAAATTCAATAATGGTTTTACTAACGAGTTGATCACGGATTGA